GCAGACTGAAATAATATCTCTGAGGGGCCTGATCCAGCAAGATTTATTGACAACCTTCAGTGACAGACCCTAGTAGAAGCGTAGCACAATACCAATGATCTCAATGGTATGTTCTTGCTGAAACACACCACCACCACTAGCTAATGTCAACACTAGCTGTTTCCCTGTGGATCACTTAGTCGTAGCATTTGGCTAACATACTTTATCCTGCTAATAGTTACATTCAGTTGACGCATTCCCTATACATAAATATAACAAATTCCTGTCCTCAGTCATATGCCCTGCTTCTCCGTTCATTTCAGGCTCCATTGCCACTCTCTTAAGCTATCCATCACACTTATTTTTAAGTTATTCTTTTTGTGGAAAGGGAAAGTGTGCCATAACCACTTATTTTATATCAGGAACAAAAAGAGTCCTAACAAGAGTATTGGTCCATTACTATATGTAAATGGTAGAATTATCTGTAATAATAAAGAAAAGGCAGAAGTATTCTGTATTTGGGAAAAAAGCAACGTAGTTATATGTAACACTCTTTCCATTCCACTAGTATCTCAGAGGATGTTAAACAGCAGCTACTAAAGTTAGACATTTTAAAATCAGCAGGTCTGGCTAGTTTGCATCCAAGAGTTTTAAAAGAGCTGGCTGAGGAGCTCACTGGACCACTAATGTAAATTTCAGTAAGTCTTGAAACACTGGGGAAATCCTAGAAAACTGAATGAAAGCTAACGTTGTGCCAATATTAAAAAAGTAAATGGGAAGATGAGGAAATTATAGGTCTGTCAATCTGGCATGGATCCTGAGCAAGATAATGAAGCAGCGGATACAGGAATTGATTAATAAAGAATTAAAGGAGGGTGTGTTTCTAGTGAGGTCCCACAGAGATTGGTCTTGGCCCTACATTTTTATCAATGAACTGGAAGAAAATCTAAAAATTTGCAGATGACAAAAAATATCATACAGCCATGTAACTATCCTTTTTTGCAATTACAAATAACCAAACCCCACACAGAAAACAAACAAATTGGGAGAATTTGGTGTGGACAAACCTCTCATCCCAGGCACCTCCCCAATACAGGTCCTTCTTTAGAGGGTACTGCTGGGATCCTCTTTGGGGCTGGCGAGCTTTCCTTCAAAGGTGATGGCTAGCGGGAAAGATACTGCAAGTGGGGAAGAATCTTCACTCCCCTTCTCTGTAAGGGCAAAGGTAGAGCCACAATGGGTTCTTCGCTTCCCATCACACCCTGGAAGGAGGGCCTGGGGGAACAGCTCCGCTCCTGCTCTACCTTTGCAAAAGGGAGTTGTTTGCACTCAGGGATTCTCTGTGCACTGACTAACCCCAGAATTCTGCTCTGCTCTCACACAGGCAGAGAGGTAGTTCATCGGTTAGGGTTCCTGCAGGTGGTGCTGAGCCTGAAGGAGAAAGCCAGCTACAATCCCAGATTGCATGTGGGTAATGGGAAATTGTGAGCGCAGGTTTCACTTGTACAATGCAGATAGCTGGAAAATAATGTTCTCCTTCCACTCATGCAATGAGTTCTCTTCTGCCACTTCAGTCAGTCACCCGGTTGTTGGCATAATATCCATCTCCTGCCATGCAGAACGACCATCCTGCATCCCTCCACTGTACCAGTTTTCCATCTCTATGGACCTCCTCTGAAAGCAACTCTCTTCTCTTCAGCCACTTTCTTTTGCTGCTATTAGGGAACACTAAGGCATTTGGGATACAGTTTGTATGAAAGACAATGCTGACATTTGCAGAATTGACTAGTGCTTTTGGGTACCCAAGTTGACACCTTAATGGGACTACTGCGGGGACAAGGCTGAATGCACCTACTGCAGACATTCAAATAGGGGAGGAGAGATTCTCATCCAGCTACCTGATGGAAGCAAAGAATGACTCCGGTTTGGGATCAGTACATTTGTGACATCAGAATGGGAACACAGCATCAGTTCTGGAGAGGTACAGGGATGCCACAATATCGTGGCGAATACTAGCAATGGGTCGAAGCCTGGTATAAGTCTCCCTAATGTAAGGATATAGGATAGTCAATATTTGTTCACCTGTACAAACACCAAACTCAATTTTCTGTAACATTTAAACAGAACTCTTTCTTAAACAGGCAAAGAAAATCCATAGAAATGAGAACAAATATTTTAAATAGATACTCTCCTAGGCCTGCTAGCACTAGGGTGTTACTGCCTCTGGCTAAGCAGTCCATAGCTTCAGTAACATCGTGTGCATTTCATGGCTTGAACTTTTTCTCAGGATCGCCATTCTTATGTCACCTCTTGCTTTTTGCCCTTGCCAGCCTCCTATCATTGGGAGTTGGTTGCGGTCTTAAAAGCCCATCATTATCGCTATCCCTACATTCAGATTTTGTGCGTGTGTGTGTGTGTATTTACAACTCAACATATTTAACCATTTTCGTTCTAAATAATGAAATAATTTCTTCCCCACTTGGCTTTGAGGATGGAACAGGCATCTCAATAGGTATTTTGTTTACCACAAAGTTTTTTGGAGCTAGAGGTATCAGCACCTTCCATATTATTGCCAATTCCACCCCTATCCAGTACCACCAAGCTTTTGTCTGAACCAACATCCCTTTTAGAGGAGGATACAGTAACTCTTCACTTAAAGTCATCCCTGTTAATATTGTTTGTTGTTACGTTGCTGATCAATTAGGGAACATGCTCATTTAAAGCCCTGCAAAGCTCTCTTATAATGTTGTTTGGCAGCCACCTGCTTTGTCCACTGCTTGCAGAAAGAGCAGCCAGTTGGAGCTAGTGGGGGGGGCTTGGAACCAGGATGGACCAGCAGACCCCCTATCGGCTCCCTGCTCCCCTAAGTTCCCTGTGCGGCAGCCACCCAGCAGGCTATCAATTGCCGACAGTTCAGCTGTCCCTCCCCCCACTGCCATGTGCTGCTCCTGCCCTCTGCCTTGGAGCTGCTCCTGGGAGCCTCCTGCTTACTGTGTGGGGCTGATGGGGAAGAGGTGTGCTAAAGTCAGGTGTCCCCTTCCCCCACTCCTTTACCCCATTAGGCCATCTCCACAGAGCAGGGTGGGGACACGACAGGGCTCAGGACAGAGGGGGCTTGCTGGCAGCAGCTGCTGTCTCAACTTGCTGGTCTACTTAAAAAGGCAGTGTACTTAGAGTATGGTCAGCGTACTTAAAGGGGCAATGCACGTCTCTCTCTCACACACACATACACACACAAGGTGTGTGTCTGTCTCTCTCTGCCATGCTGTCTCCCCTCCCTCTATTTGTGCTGCCTTATAGAGTGAGAAGCTACATTAACAAGTGTTAGCCTTGAGGGCTCAGCTGAGTGCTAGTTCATCATTTAGGAGTAAGGCATTCCCCGGGAAATATCCTACCCTCTTCCACCCTCTGACTTCACCACCTCAACCAAGCTTAACAATCATCATTGCGGTGTACAGTACTAAATTGTTTAAAACTTATATTGTGTGTGTGTGTATGTGTATATATAGATAGATAGATATAGTCTTTTGTCTGGCAAAAAAAATGTCTGTGGAACCTAACCCCTTCCCATTAATTCTTATGGGGAAATTGGATTCGCTTAACATCGTTTCGCTTAAAGTAGCATTTTCCAGGAACATAACTACAACGGTAAGTGAGGAGTTACTGTATATTCATTGTATTAGTTTTCCCTCTCGCAAAGAATGCTTTAGGAAAACATGCTTGGTGGTCAGTTCTTTCCCCATTCCAAAAATTCTGCCTCCCCATATCTTCCTGTGCAGAAAATCTGTACTTCCTTCATGTCGTGACTTTATAACCAAAAAATCACAGCACATGACTACTCTTAGGCTATGTCTACACTACAGACCTTCCAGCGGCACAGCTGTACTGCTGCAGCTGCACAGCTGTAAGGTCTCCTGTGTAACCACTCTATGCCAACAGGAGAGAGCTCTCCCTGTCAGAATAATTAAACAGCCCCCAACGAGCGGTGGTAGCTATGTTGGCAGAAGAGCGTCTCCCACTGACATAGCACTGTCCACACCGGTGCTTCTGTCAGTGTAACTTAAGTTGCCCAGAGGGTGGTTTTTTTCACCCCCATGACTGACAAGTTTTATAGACAAAAGTGCTAGTGTAGACATAGCTTTAGAAATATATGTCATAATCTCCTCTCCATAACAACTGACAATTCCAGATTCATGGTGGTTTAAGTTAAGGTGGTTTATTCAAGGGGAAAAAAAAACACAGAATTATGAAATTAAAATTCATATTAAAGTTTAAGAACACATTTCGTTTAAAATTAAAGTTAAACAAATAGTTTAATTTTTTTTTCAAATGCATGTCATCCTCCTTCTGTTCACCAAATTGTCAATTAGCAGACTGCAGTTAAAACAAATTCATCCTACATACTGATTACACCTTTATAATGTTCATAAAGTGCCACCCACAAGGGCACTTGAGCAAGCACCTTTCTGACAAAAGTGTCTATTAGGATGTTAATTGACTTGCTCTTATGGACTAAGTTGTCAAACAGCAGCATATTTGTCACAGACGCATTGATTTCACTACCACTTATTCAGCAAATACAGTTCCAAGGATATGGCCCAAGTACCATCACAATGTGGGGTAGGGGAAGTGGGGTTAAATAAATATAATCAATAGGAACTAATCTAAAAAAAGCACCAGAAAGTGGGAAACAGGAGCTTAGGTTCTGAAGGGAGCCACAAGGCCTGGGTGAAGTCTGGCAAGAATGCCAAAGCCTGATTAATGTATGGAGAAAGTGTTATGATTTGATCCACGTTTTACCCTTATCACTACTAAAAATAAAAGGCCATGATTCCCCTGAATATTTAACTCTTCCCAGTTTCTTCCTGTTGTGGTGCTTCATACCCACTCCCAAACAATGGATAGAACCATCATCACACTAAGGATGTGCTCCCTCCCCAACATCACACTGCAATGCTCAGCTAGCTACTCCCTACAGGCAGGGCCGTATTCCCCTTCTTCCCAGCAGTGGTGGTCCCTACTGTGCATGGTGTTTCTGGTGCCGCACTAGCTGTGGCTGGAAGCGGAAGCACTTCCCGCACTGAGCACAGTGGTAGGGATTCTCTCCCGTGTGGATCCGCTGGTGTTTGATCAGATTGGAGTTCCCACTGAAGCACTTCCCACACTCAGTGCATTTGTAGGGTTTCTCCCCGGTGTGGGTCCTGCTGTGGTTGATCAGATCGGAGCTCTGGCCAAAGCTCTTCCCACACTCCATGCACGTATAGGGCTTGACGCCGTTGTGGATCCTCTGGTGCTGGATGAGGTGTGAGCGCTGGCTAAAATTTTTGCCACACTCGGGACATTTGTATGGCTTCTCTCCCGTGTGCATTCTCTGGTGTTTTATACATGTGGAGCTGTCACTGAAGATCTTCCCGCACTCAGTGCATACATAGGGCTTGTGCCCTGTGTGGATCCTCTGATGTTTAATAAGGTTGGAGCTCTGGCTGAAGCTCTTCCCACACTCGTGACATGTGTAGGGCTTCTGGCCCGTGTGGATTCTCCGGTGCTGAATAAGGTGTGAGCTCTGGCTGAAGCCTTTCCCGCACTCCGTGCATTTGAAGGGTCTCTCCCCCGTGTGCATTCTCTGATGCTGGATCAGGTGTATGCTTCGACTGAAGCCCTTCCCGCATTCAGAACATATGGTTGGTCTCTCTGATCGGGGTGTTCGTCGGGGGACAATGTCCTCTCCTTGCTCCTGGAGGTCTTGTTCACCATGAGTGGATTCAGTTTGTTTCCTCTCTGAAGGGTCCTCTCTCTGTAGCATTGCTGAGTTGTGCTGACTCACATGGGCTTTTCCCAGGTCCGGACCATGGGATATGTCTCCTCCGGATCTCACTGAAAACACCCGCTGCAGTTCCATGCTTGCAGAATCTTCCTGCTGAGGAATCTCCTCCTGTCCACTGTGATCTCCTGGCAAAGATAAGATTATTCCAGACATGGTTATTCTCTGTGCTTGGGAGAAAGGAAGCCCTGGGAAGAGGATTTGCAAAGGACTCGTGACTACTGCTGAAGGTCAGAAGCCAGGTCTTTCCCAAATAAGAGTGGAGGGGATGAATTCAGCTTCCACAACTCTTCTTAACACTCAGCGTACAGGTGAGGGTAGACAATACTAGCAGAAGTGAGTCAGGAAGGGCAGAAAGCCATCCTTGATATTTGCCCAGGAGATAGGAGAACTGGTTACAATGTAAGAAAACTAATGACAAAACGGAACAAGATGACATGAGGCAGAACCATGAGCTGACAGTTGCTATTGGAATTCCAACTTCTTTTACTTCACTCATTGAGTGTTTCCAAGTTGGTTCAGCTTATCCTCACCTGTGTGGGTGTATGTCAAGAGCTCCGTTTCCTTGAGAGCCTGGTGACCTGGGTCAGATAGTTCTTTGCCTTGTTCCATTTGGGAGGCCATGCCACATTTAGGAATTGGAAAACCTGCTCATGAGAAAGAAAACATCATGGCTTGTTAAATATTCAACCAATGCTTGTCACAAAAGATGTTTTTAATCCCAGCTGCTCTAATGGGGAGGGGAGGGAGCAGAGCAGAGTCTGGAAGGGATGAATCCCCTGAATGGCTGGGAAAGTGTTCCAGCATACAATTCGGGGAATAACGGTTCTGATGGTAGATGTATTTTATCCGTGTAGGAGATTCAAGGATCCCTCTTAATGGGAGAATGATATTATATAGAAAGCCAACAAGAGACTCCCCCGAATCCCTTTTTTAAGTTGGTGACAGTCCCGGGTAGAGGTGTGTTGCAAACCCAGGAAATTCCAGCAACGTTTGTATGCTCAGGTGTGAGAGACAAGGACAGGAGTGGGCTGTCAACTGCACTTCTGAAAATCCTTCTAAATGGGCAGGGAGAGTCACACCCAGGTTCTCAGGATTAAAGGGTCTAAATCCCCCAGGAAAGAACCTTGTGCTGAAGCAAATGAAATCACTTCAGAGATGCTCATAAAAAAAGTGACTCCTTACCTAGTGAGATGAGATTCTGGTAGTTCTCCTGCATGTCATCCCTGTTGAGTTCCATCAGCCCTTTGCCATAAAGCCCTGCTAGGTCTTTGGACAGCACAACCACAGCATAAAATGCCAACGGTACCTAAAACAAGCATTCTCCATTCAGTATTTGCTGCTCCAAGGACAATCCCACTGCTAAGTAGCAAGAGGTAGTGAGAGGAGGAGGAGGGGCACCGGAACTGGGAGTTGCTGCAGAGAAGAACAGATGAGACACAATGGCAAGAAAAAGGGAAGGGGGAAAACCTCAAAAGTCACAGAGAGAGAAAGGAGGATGGGGAAGGAAGAAAACCAAAGGGAGGAGTGGGCAGTCCTACGGTTCACCACGACCAACTAACGTGTTAAAACTAAAACTTGCCCTGTCTACAGTAGTATTTTTAAAAAGCGTTTGCTACCACTCTTAAGTATCTCCTAGGCTCTGGCTGCACTAGAATTTTCACCTCAAGTTAACAGTTTGTTAATTAATGCTAGGTCATTAACACTTTGGTAAAGGCCAGTGTGTATACTTTTCAGATGTTTGTTCCCGGCTATATGTTTATTCTTTACTCTAGGCTGATCCCCAGGGAAACCACAGATGATTGAGAGCTTCCAGACAAGTCTTCATAAAGGTGTTCGTGACTTCAAGTCAATTTGCAATCAACTAACTGGAGGTAAGAACTCAAGGGAAGACAAGCCCACAGCGTGAACAAGTGCTTACAGGTGATGGGCTACTTCCCCCACTTGTGCCCATTCACTCATCAACAATGGTTGGGAAAGTGGCATTACTGGCATGTTAAGTGCATACATGTTAGTAGGATACAAGTTTCAGATCTAATAAGCCATCAAGATGAACAGGACAGGTAACATCCTCAGATTGGTGTTTTTCTTAAAGCACCAGTTTCTTGAGTCCTGTGATTACATGAGAATCTCAAGCTTTTGTTAAACATTTCTCCCCCTAATGGTTGCAAATAAAAGCTTGAAAACTTGAACCCTAAAGGCTCAAAAACGAGGAAAGTAAAAAGAACCCCAAAATTATTTATTTAAAAATAAATAATGATTTGGGGGACCCAACTCAATTTTTTTTTAATGCCTTGGATTAGCAAAATTGCAGACCAGTTGTTTCAGGCTATAAGTAGATCTCCACATTGTGTTACATTCCCTTAAATACCAGATGCACAAGAAACTTTTTAAGTTCTACAGGAACTCAATAGGCAGGCAGCAACTGCCCCCATTAGATGTAGGGTGCTCTACACTGCTCTTGGCAACTCCAAGCACTATGAAACACTATTCTAGCATATGTCCAATATGGGTATGTGAAGGATCGGAAGGGGAGATCACTTTCAATGGCCCTTTTGGTTCCGAGGGCTGGTCTACACTGGGGATGTCAGCCATCGGTGACTTTCCCAACAGCATAGCTGCATCAGAGCAACCCCAAGTGTAGACAGGCAGAACCACTATAATCTGCAATTTGTGCCAGTGCAATTTACCCCTGCTTTAACCAGAAGTGACCAAGGTCTTGTCTACACTAGCAGGTTACCTTGATACAGCTCCACTACTGGCTGGACCCAAAGGCTGTAACTGCTGGGATTGCTAAAATATATTCGTTAGGGATGGGCAAACATCCCAACATCCAGGCAATACTTGTATTCGGAGGCCGTATTACTGGATATTAACGAGTATATAAGCTTACAATGGAAATACCATGCATGAAAATATAAGCAATCAGGCAGCAGCAGAGCGGGGCTTCCCCTCATACTCAACCTTCAACTGTGCTGCAGCAGTAGCAGAGATCCACAGTAAAACTAAAGTGGCCAGCCTGGAACAGGCAAAGAGAATGAAGTCTCTCTTCAGGAGGCGGCAAAGATAAGTGAATCCTATGGCTCCCCCGTTCCCCCCTTGCTTTAGAATTCTTGTGTGCCACTGGCAAGCATATTCTGATGAAGTGAGCTGTAGCTCACAAAAGCTCATGCTCAAATAAATTGGTTAGTCTCTAAGGTGCCACAAGTCCTCCTTTTCTTTTTACGGATACAGACTAACACAGCTGCTACTCTGAAACCTGTCAATATTCTAGGGGTGTTTTCATTCTGTCCTGAGCCAGCAGACCAAGGAGAGGGTAAGAGTCTGTAACCCTTCACCCATGCTCATAGTTGGAGTTTTAATAAATGTTTATCATTTTGCTTTTAATTCCACTCAGCTACATGTAATTTTTATGGCTCAGCCAAGATATTTTTGGTTTATAGGGATTACTCTGGTGCGGAGTTCCATGTTTTCAGCAAGACATTTTCTATCCCTTAGGCTCCTGGAATCTGTTCCTGCAGGAGAATGGAGAGCGCAATGCTTCCATTCTCCACACTGTGAACCCTGGGGACTACTGGGCAAAGATTAGATTTTGAGGAAGCAATCCAATTATACTGTGTATATTTTTCCCCAGCACTGAATAATGATCACTTTCTGCTCCCAATGGTAAGAGATTTTTGCCACAGGGAAGAATATATCTACTTCAATAGCACAAGCCTGCCTGGCAAGTATTACTCCTATCTTTGGGAGACTAGGTGAGCGAGGTAATATCTTTTATTGGACCACCTTCTGTTGGTGAGAGAGACAAGCTTACACAGGGCTGGACTCTGCACCAGCAGACAGACCCCTTTTCATTCTGGCCCCCATTACTGGCTACTAGGGGATTCAGCCTCATTTACACAGCAAGCTGATATCTCTAGATCCTCTAGCTCCATGCTGCTTGCAGAACGAACCCACATGGTTTTGTAAGGGTGGGAGGCTATAATCCAGCAAGGGGTTGAAGCAGGGGGTACCAGGCATTCCAGAATTGCAATTCCCCCATCAGCTGAGTGGGGACAGTGGAACATACAAGCAGCAGTTTGCTATGTCAGGTGTAGTGCTAGAGGATCCTAGGGTGAGATGCTGAAAGAATGGGGTGCAAGTGGCCGGCTGGAAAATGCTAGGGGGATAGAATGCAAGAATAAGAGGATTGTGGGGCTGCTAGACCATGCTGCTCGACCAGAAAAGGGTGCAGTAATAGAGGGAGACTGCTGTATTGTGGCCGGATGGTGGTGTATGAATGGGGAACTGCTGGGGTGTGTCTGGAGAGGGGGACAAGGACGGGGAGGGCTGCCAGCTGGAGTGCTAGTGAGATAAAAAACATGGAGCAGGGGTTCAAACGGAAATCTGCAAAGGGGCAGGAGGACAGATGATTCCTGGGGAAGGGGGACAAGCTGTGTGAAGGTGGGTGGCTGCAGGAGGAAGTGGGGACAGGAAAAGCTAATGGAAAACGTCAAAAGGGGGTGCAAGAATTGAGCGTCACACTCCTGGTCTGTGCCACAGGAAAGGAGTGCAGAAATAGGGTGGCATCCCTGGGGAGCACCGTGGAGGAAGAGTAATAAATGGAAAGGAGCAGGAGCTGAAAGGGAAAAGGGAGTCTGGTCTCTAAGGAAACATTGGTTCAGGTAGGAGTGGGGGGAAAGAGAAACGTCCCTCATTTTTTCAGCTGGGTGCCGGATGCATTCCCACTCTGGAAGGGGCCCCAGGGGCAGGGCCAGTTTGCGGCTCTCTGTGCCGCTCTCGCAGAAGTCCCATCCTGAAAACAACAGTCAGTGCCTTTGCTAGCAGTCACGTGGCTTCGAAGCGCCGAGCGATTGTTTTTGCGGCGGGCTGTTGAACGCTGCCCGCCCGGGCTGCCGGACCCCGCCGCCCCCCGCCCCGGGAGCAGACGCCTGCACGCCTCCCCCCGGCACACCTGCAGCTCCGCTTCCACAGCCCCGTTTGACCTACCTGCAAGAAAAACGCGGGCAGGGGTTGCAGCCTCCAGCCCCGGGCTCTCCTCCCGGAGAGAGGCGGCGCTTCAGCCGGGCAGAGCTCCCCACTCACCCCCCAGATTGCAGCTTCCTGCCTGGGCACCGGGGAGGGCAAAGGACGCTTCCTGGGCGGAGCCTGCGGGGCGAGCGGCTACTCCGCGCTGCTGAAGGCGGGGACCTCTCCAGGGATCCTACCCGGCTGGGCACGGCCAGGTGTCAGAGCTGCTGGGAGCCAGGCACCTCGCACCATGGCAGCTGCTGCTCCATGCATGTTAGCGGGAGCATGATCCGGGACGTAGCGGGGGCCAGCCGCAGCAGCCATCTTAGCAAAGTGTGTGTGTGTGTGGGGGGGGACACACACCCCCAGACACGCTACTGAATGTCCAGCCCGTGCCCGGCGTGGAAACACGATGGTGGCAGAAGCCCTTCCTTGCAAGGTTTCAGAGTAGCAGCCCTGTTAGTCTGTATTTGCAAAAAGAACGGGAGGTCTTGTGGCACCTTAGAGACGAACACATTTCTTTGACAGGTTTCAGAGTAACAGCCGTGTTAGGCTGTATTCACAAAAAGAAAAGGAGGACTTGTGGCACCTTAGAGACTAACCAATTTATTTGAGCATGAGCTTTCGTGAGCTACAGCTCACTTCATCGGATGCATACCGTGGAAACTGCAGCAGACTTTATATATACACAGAGAATATGAAACAATACCTCCTCCCACCCCACTGTCCTGCTGGTAATAGCTTATCTAAAGTGATCATCAGGTTGGGCCATTTCGAGCACAAATCCAGGTTTTCTCACCCTCCACCCCCCCACACAAATTCACTCTCCTGCTGGTGATAGCCCATCCAAAGTGACAACTCTTTACACAATGTGCATGATAATCAAGTTGGGCTATTTCCTGCACAAATCCAGGTTTTCTCACATCCCCTCCACCCCCATACACACACAAACTCACTCTCCTGCTGGTAATAGCTCATCTAAACTGACCACTCTCCAAGTTTAAATCCAAGTTAAACCAGAACATCTGGGGTGGGGGGGTAGGAAAAAACAAGAGGAAACAGGCTACCTTGCATAATGACTTAGCCGCTCCCAGTCTCTATTTAAGCCTAAATTAATAGTATCCAATTTGCAAATGAATTCCAATTCAGCAGTTTCTCGCTGGAGTCTGGATTTGAAGTTTTTTTGTTTTAAGATAGCGACCTTCATGTCTGTGATTGCGTGACCAGAGAGATTGAAGTGTTCTCCGACTGGTTTATGAATGTTATAATTCTTGACATCTGATTTGTGTCCATTTATTCTTTTACGTAGAGACTGTCCAGTTTGACCAATGTACATGGCAGAGGGGCATTGCTGGCACATGATGGCATATATCACATTGGTGGATGTGCAGGTGAACGAGCCTCTGATAGCGTGGCTGATGTTATTAGGCCCTGTGATGGTGTCCCCTGAATAGATATGTGGGCCTAATAACATCAGCCCTCATGATTGTGGAGGAGAGCTTGAGTGTATAACCTGAATACATCGTAAAGGCTCAAAAATCCCAAGGGAAACATATAACCCCCAAACTTCTTTAAAAACATGATTTTTTAAGGCAATTTTGTGATTTTTAAAAACATTTTGGGTCTAGACTGTAAGCTGTCTGGGACATAGGCTTTTTGGTCTGTCTCAAAAAAAAAAACCCTGCAGCCAGTCAGCAACACCCATTTCTGCAATCAGCTCTTGATGTTTTACAGAGTGATAGTGAGCTGTAGCCCATGAAAGTTTATGCTCAAATAAATTTGTTAGTCTCTAAGGTGCCACAAGTACTCCTTTTCTTTTTAGGTGCTGATAATCACCCCACATAGGATAGCAAGCGGCTTCATTGCCCTCCCTGTGCAATAGGACTTTGTATGTATGCAGTGTTGTTGCTATGTCAGTCCCAGGGTATTAGAGAGACAAGGTGGGTGAGGTAATATCTTTTATTGGGCCAACTTCTGCTGGTGAGAGAGAGAAGCTTTCAAGCTTACACAGAGCTCTTCTTCACCTCTGGGAAATGTAAGTGTAAGCACAAAAGCTTGTCTCTTTCACCAACATAAATTGGTCCAATACAAGACATTACCTCACCCACCTGGTCTCTCCAGCATGACTCTGTCACAAAGTCCAGTCTCCCTCTCTTTCTCTCACTTAAGCCCCTTTCCTTTCTGTGCACTTCTCCCCGATACCCACCCCCAGGGAGGTAGGGTGGGACTTTGATCACTTTTGGGCCCAGGCATTTTTAGTATTTAAGGAATAGGTTGTGTGAAAGGCATATTTGAAAGAAAGCAGCATGTCTAGAAAGTTGGAACAGGGGATTGGGAATCTGGAGATTAGGCAGTATTATGTTCATTGCTTTAAGGTCCCTTTAAATTGTCCAAAATTATTATTTGAAGGAAAAACATTGCAGAAGATAATATTTTTATGCTTGTAGTGCCTTTAGCTGAGCTCCGCTAGAGCTTTTACAAATTTTAAGCCTCACAACATCCCCCAGAACTTCAAAGGGATAAGTTTGGAAGAAATAAACTTTAAAAAAAACATTGTTTTTATAGATTAACTACCATATAATCAACTACATAACTCAAATTATCAAAAATTGGTGTTTATACAATATATATCCTTGTGATTCATAGGCGCTGACTCCGTGGGTGCTCCAGGGCTGGTGCGCCCATGGGGAAAAATGGTGGGTGCTGAGCACCCACCAACAGTCTCCCTATCAGAACCTCCCCTCCCTCCAGCGTGTCCAGCCCCCTGGCAGGCACCACCGATCAGTGCCTCCCCATCCCTCCCAGCACCTACCATGGATCAGCTGTTCTGCAGCATCTGGAGGCGCTGGGGAGGGGAGAGGGAGGAGCGAGGATGTAGCGTACTTGGGGGAGGGGGCAGGGCGGGGGTGGGAAGAGGCAGGGCAGGGGCAGAGCAGGGGTGGGAAGCAGCAGGGTAGGGGTGGGGACCTGGGGGAAGGAGTTGAGTGGGGGCAGGGCCTGGGCAGAGCCGGGGCGGGGAGCACTCCCCAGCAGATTAGAAACTCAGCGCCTATGCTATGATTTAGCTGATACAGGAAAAAAAACTTCAGATGAAGTAACTTTTCTAGGAGGTGGGTTAAAGAGATTGAATTGCATAAAATGTGTGTGTTATGTTCATGAATAAATCTAGGTTCTGCTGCCTCTACGTTTCCTTCAATAAATACTCCCTTTACCTCCATCAATTCTTAGCCCTGGTCTACACTAGGAGTTGAGGTCGAATTTAGCAGCGTTAAATCGATTTAACCCTGCACCCGTCCACACGATGAAGCCCTTTTTTTCAACTTAAAGGGCTCTTAAAATTGATTTTCTTACTCCACCCCCAATTTAGGGATTAGCATTGAAATCGGCCTTGCTGGGTCGAATTTGGGGTACTGTGGACGCAATGAGACGGTATTGGCCTCCGGGAGCTATCCCAGAGTGCTCCATTTTGACCGCTCTGGACAGCACTCTCAACTCAGATGCACTGGCCAGGTAGACAGGAAAAGGCCCACGAACTTTTGAATTTCAATTTCCTGTTTGGCCAGCGTGGCAAGCTGCAGGTGAATGCAGAGCTCATCAGCAGAGGTGACCATGATGGAGTCCCAGAATCGCAAAAGAGCTCCAGCATGGACCGAACGGGAGGTACGGGATCTGATCTCTGTATGGGGAGCGGAATCCGTGCTATCAGAACTCCGTTCCAGTTTTCGAAATGCCAAAACATTTGTCAAAATCTCCCAGCGCATGAAGGACAGAGGCCATAACAGGGACCGAAGCAGTGCCACGTGAAACTTAAGGAGCTGAGGCAGGCCTACCAGAAAACCAGAGAGGCAAACGGCCGCTCCGGGTCAGAGCCCCAAACATGCTGCTTCTATGATGAGCTGCATGCCATTTTAGGGGGTTCAGCCACCACTACCCCAGCCGTGTTGTTTGACTCCTTCAATTGAGATGGAGGCAACACGGAAGCAGGTTTTGGGGACGAGGAAGATAGCTCACAGCAAGCAAGCGGAGAAACCGGTTTTCCCGACAGCCAGGAACTGTTTCTCACCCTGGACCTGGAGTCAGTACCCCCCGAACCCACCCAAGGCTGCCTCCCGGACCCGTCAGGCAGAGAAGGGACCTCTGGTGAGTATACCTTTTAAAATAGTATACATGGTTTAAAAGCAAGCATGTTTGATGATTAATTTGCCCTGGCATTCGTGGCTCTCCTGGATGTACTCCCAAAGCCTTTGCAAAAGGTTTCTGGGGAGGGTAGCCTTATTCTGTCCACCATGGTAGGACACTTTACCACTCCAGGCCAGTAGCACGTACTAGGGAATCATTGTAGAACAAAGCATTGCAGTGTATGTTTGCTGGTGTTCAAACAACATCCATTCTTTATTTCTCTGTGTTATCCTCAGGAGAGTGATATCATTCATGGTCACCTGGTTGAAATAGAGTGCTTTTCTTAAGGGGACATTCAGAGGTGCCCGTTCCTGGTGGGCTGTTTGCCTGTGGCTGAACAGAAATGTTCCCTGCTGTTAGCCATGGGGAGAGGGGAAGCGGCTAGCCATGTGGTGGGGGAAGGCAAAATGCAACCTTGGAACGAAAGCACATGTGCTATGTATGTAATGTTAACAACAAGGTTTACCGTGAAAGAGAGTGTACCCATTGTTCTATAAAATGTGTCTTTTTAAATGCCACTGTCTTTTTTTTTCTCCACCAGCTGCATGTGTTTCAAGGATCACAGGATTTTCTCCTTCCCAGAGGCTAGTGAAGATTAGAAGGTAAAAAAAAAAAAACCGCACTCGCGATGAAATATTCTCGGACCTCATGCTGTCCTCCCACACTGACAGAGCACAGACGAATGCATGGAGGCAGACAATGTCAGAGTGCAGGAAAGCATAAAATGAACGCGAGGAGAGGTGGCGGGCTGAAGAGAGGGCTGAAGCTGAAAGGTGGCAGCATTCAATGCTGAGGCTGCTGGAGGATCAAACTAATATGCTCCAGCATATGGTTGAGCTGCAGGAAAGGCAGCTGGAGCATAGACTGCTGCTACAGCCCCTGTGTAACCAACCACCCTCCTCCCCAAGTTGCATAGCCTCCTCACCCAGACGCCCAAGAACGTGGTGGGGGGGCCTCTAGCCACTCCACTCCAGAGGATTGCCCAAGCAACAGAAGGCTGGCATTCAATAAGTTTTAAAGTTTCAAACTTTTAAAGTGCTGTGTGGCCTTGTCCTTCCCTCCTTAGCTTACAGGGAAGTAGAGTGAACCAAGGGCTGGGGGGCGTGGGGGGTTCATCAAGGAGAAACAAACAGAACTTTCACACTGTAGCCTGGCCAGTCATGAAACTGGTTTTCAAAGCTTCTCTGATGCGCACCGTGCCCTCCTGTGCTCTTCTATCCGCCCTGGTGTCTGGCTGCGTGTAACCAGCGGCCAGGCGATTTGCCTCAATCTCCCACTCCACCATAAACATCTCCCCCTTACTCTCACAGAGATTGTGGAGCGCACAGCAAGCAGCAATAACCGTGGGAATATTGGTTTAGCGGAGGTCTAACCGAGTCAGTAAACTGCACCAGCGCGCTTTTAAATGTCCAAATGCACATTCTACCACCATTCTGCACTTGCTTAGCCTGTAGTTGAACAGCTCCTGACTACTGTCCAGGCTGCCTGTGTATGGCTTCATGAGCCATGGCATTACGGGGTAGGCTGGGTCCCCAAGGATAACTATAGGCATTTCAACATCCCCAACGGTTATTTTCTGGTCTGGGAATAAAGTCCCTTCCTGCAGCTTTTGAAACAGACCCCAGAGTTCTTGAAGATGCAAGCATCATGTACCTTTCCCAGCCATCCCACATTGATGTTGGTGAAACATCCCTTGTGATCCACAAGTGCTTGCAGCACTATTGAAAAGTACCCCTTGTGGTTTATGTACTCGCCAGCTTCGTGCTCCAGTGCCAAGATAGGGATATGGGTTCTGTCTATGGCCCCACCACAGTTAGGGAATCCCATTGCAGCAAAGCCATCCATTATGACCTGCACATTTCCCAGGGTAACTACCCTTGATATCAGCAGATCTTTGATTGCGTTGGCTACTTGCATCACAGCAGCCCCCACAGTAGATTTGCCCCTCCAAATTGATTCCCAACTGATCGGTAGCTGTCTGGCGTTGCAAGCTTCCACAGGGCTATTGCCACTTGCTTCTCAACTGTGAGGGCTGCTCTCATCTTGGTATTCTGGTGCTTCAGGGCAGGGAAAAGCAAGTCACAAAGTTCCATGAAAGTGCCCTTACGCATGCGAAAGTTTCGCAGCCACTGGGAATCGTCCCAGACCTGCAACACTATGCGGTCCCACCAGTCTGTGCTTGTTCCCCGGGCCCAGAATCAGCGTTCCATTGCATGAACCTTCCCCATTAGCACCATGATGCCCGCATTGCCAGGGCCCGTGCTTTGAGAGAAGTCTGTGTCTGTGTCCTCATCGCTCTCGTCACCGCGCTGATGTCCCCTACTCGCCTGGTTTCGCTTTGCTAGGTTCTGGTGTTGCATATACTGCTGGATAATGCGCGTGGTGTTTAACGCGCTCCTAATTGCTAAAGTGATCTGAGCGGGCTCAATGCTTGCCGTGGTATGGCGTCTGCACGGGTAACCCAGGAAAAAAGGCGCGAAACGATTGTCTGCTGTTGCTTTCACAGAGGGAGGGAGGGAGGGCCTGACAACATGTACCCAGAACCACCCGCAACAACGTTTTTTGCCCCACGAGGCATTGGGATCTCAACCCAGAATTCCAATGGGCAGCAGAGACTGCGGGAACTGTGGGATAGCTACCCTTCCCCAATACTCCGGAAGTCAACGCTAGCCTCGGTACTATGGAAGCACTCCGCCGAGTTAATGCACTTGGAGCATTTTGTATGGGACACACACAATTGACTATATAAAAACGATTTCTAAAAAAACAACTTCTATAAATTTGACCTAATTTCGTAGTGTAGACATACCCTTAGGGTGCTGGCCTTTCTGGACTGTTGTTAGCAGAGTTAACCTCTATTTCTCTTCACAGATATTGGAAAAGCATATCCTTTCCTGTTTCTCCCAGATGTCATACACTGAGTTATGGTGAGTACTAATGCTATTTATAATGTTTAAAGGCAAACCGCATAGGAAATATGGAAAACCATAAAAAGAAAAGGAGTACTTGTGGCACCTTAGAGACTAACAAATTTATTTGAGCATAAGCTTTCGTGAGCTACAGCTCACTTGATCGGTGCATCCGATGAAGTGAGCTGTAGCTCACAAAAGCTTATGATCACATAAATTTGTTAATCTATAAGGTGCCACAAGTAATCCTTTTCTTTTTGCGGATACAGACTAACATGGCTGCTACTCTGAAACCTGTCATTATGGAAAACCATGTTACTGTAAACTAAGAAGATACTGGTCACAGCAAGTAGTTATGCAGAAAGACAAAAGTTTAATAAACATCCATTGCTTGAGATTATGGTCTTTCTTCCTCACGATCTGAGCAGCTTGTTCAGCTTGTGAAAGAGGAACCACAAGTGCTGGCTATCTTTACTCAGCTTTTAGCTCTTCTGACCCTCTCCCTTTCCTTTCTCTGAAAGAATGAATAAAAGGTCAGCTACAACCATTTTAGTAAACCTGACAAGATTAATTTAAAATATCTCAGCCTTTCAGCACACACAGCTTTACCTCATAAAGTCACTTAGCCCTGGTCTACACTCGGAGCGGGGGAAGAATAGATCTAAGTTACACAACTTCAGCTATGTGAATAACATAGACCTACTTAGACCTACTCACTGTGGTGTCTTCCTCCGTCGACTCCATCTGCGCCTCTCGCGGCGGTGGAGTACAGGAATCGATGGGAGAGTGCTCGGGGGTCAATTTATCGTGTCTAGACTAGGCACAAGAAATCGACCCCCGCTGGATCGATCGCTGCCCACCGATCTGGCAGGTAGTGTAGACATACCCTAAGTTGCAGCATGTGCTTGGGAATTTGTAGCCTGAACCTTTGCTGCCCTCCTGCCAGGAAGTGTTTTATTTTCACATTTTCCCATGCATAGGTTATGATCTGGCCCAAGGTTTGAGATCAGTCTCAGTTATTTTGGATTTGGAGGAAGTCTATCTGCAAGCCAGATGCCAACACATCTTTCCTCATGGATCACACACCAGACAAAAATGCATTTTTAAGAAAAGTTGGAATATTTTCAATATTCTGAGACCTGTGCCTTACCCCTTAGCATATGTTTGGATGGTTTACTCCAAATTAAAAATAAAATGGTCTGACCTGAAACCAAAGAAGTTTCATTTTTAGTACAGGCTCACTACAAAGAACTCAAAAAAAATGTTTAGGCACTGTAAGGTTTCATAACCCCAGAGGTTCTCACCATTGGTCTTCCTACTGAATGAAGCAGAACTGGGTGGGGAGGGGAGCGTTTATTGTTTAAGGATAAAACTTGTCCCACCCACAGTGTGTTTGTACGTCCTGTCCCTTATGTGGGTTCTCAGGTGTTTGGTGAGTGTTGAGCTGAATCTGAAGCTTTTCCCACACTCTTCACAGTGGTAGGGCCTCTCTCCAGTATGGATTCTCTGGTGCTGACTGAATGTTGATCTGTTGGTGAACCTTTTTCCACACTCAGCGCATGGGAAGGGTCTCTCCCCCGTATGGATTCTCTGATGTGCAGCGAGATGTAAGCGCTGACTGAAGCTCTTCTTGCACACTCTGCAGGCGTAGGGTCTCTCTCCCGTGTGCATTCTCAGATGCTGAGTAAGTGTTGAGCTCCCACTGAAGCCTATCCCACACTCAGCTCATTGGAAGGGTCTCTCCCCAGTGTGGATTTTCTGATGTGCAGCAAGGTTCGAGCTCTGACTGAAGCTTTTCTTGCACACTCTGCAAGTGAAGGGTCTCTCTCCTGTGTGCATTCTGCAATGCTGAATAAGCGTTGAGCTCTGGCTGAAGCCCTTCCTCCATATGAAGGGTCTCTTCCCTGTGTGAATTCTGCTATGTTTCAGGAGAGTGAAGCTGTGATTGAAGCTCTTGCTGCAGTCGGCACACAGGTAGGGTCTCTCTCCTGTGTGGATTCTCTGGTGATTAGTAAAGTGTGATCTGTCAGCGAACTCTTTCCTACACTCGTTGCACCTGTAGGGCATATCCCCAGTGTGGGTTCTCTGGTGCTGCATGAACATTGATCTGCTGGTGAACCTCTTCCCACAGTCAGCACATGTGAAGAGCAACTCCCTGGTGTGGATTCTCTGGTGTTCCATGGGGAAGGAGGCATCTCTCAAGCTCTTCCTGCCCTGGGTGCGTTTGCACAGCCTGTCTCCTGTGTGAGTTCTCCGGTGTTTGGTGAGTGTGGAGCTGAACCTGAAGCTCTTCCTGCACTCTTTGCAACTGTAGGGCCGCTCCCCAGTGTGGGTTCTCTGGTGCTGCATGAACGTGGAACTCTCTGCAAACCTTTTCCCACACTCAGCGCATGGGAAGAGTCTCTTCCCCCGTGTGGATCCTCTGATGTGCAATGCGATGTGAACTCCAACTGAAGCTCTTCTTGCAAAGCCTGCAGGCATAGAGTCTCTCTCCCGTGCGGATTCTCAGATGCTGAGTAAGGGCTGAGCTCCCACGGAAGCCCTTCCCACATTTGGTGAATGTGAAGGGTCTCTCCCCCGTGTGGGTCCTCTGAAGTTTGAAGAGAGTGGAGCTCTGATTGAAGCGTTTCTCGCATACCCTGCATGTGAAGGGTCTCTCCCTTGTGTGGATTCTCTGATGGTTAGTAAGGTATGAACTCTCTGTGAACCCTTTCCCGCACTCTTCACATATATAGGATTTTTCTCTTGTGTGGATTCTCTGGTGTTTAGTGACGTGCGACCTCCGCTGGAAGCGTTTCCCGCACTCTCTGCACGCGTAGGGCTGCTCCCCACTGTGCATCCTCTGGTGCTCGACGACGGCGGAGCTGTCTCTGAAGCTCTTCCCAGACTCCGTGCATTTGCATGGCCTGTCCCCTGTCTGGGTTCTCAAGTGTTTGCTGGGTGCCGATCTGAAGCCGAAGCTTTTCCCGCACACTTTGCAGCTGTAGGGCGGCTCCCTGGTGTGGGTTCTCTGGTGCTGGTTGCAGGTTGATCTGGCGGTGAATCTTTTCCCACACTCAGCGCATTGGAAGGGTCTCTCCTCTGTGTGGATTCTCTTATGTGCAGCGAGGTATGAGCTCCGCCTGAAGCTCTTCCCACAGTCAGTGCAGGTGGTCAGCCTGTCTTCTCCACAGATGTGCTGACCATCAGAGGTGTCTCTCTCCTCAGGACTCTGGGAAATATTCCCTTTGGATCTGCTGCCTGATAATGTTCTAGGCTGCTCTATGTCTTCATCAGGACCTTCCTGCACAATCCCATAGTTTCCTGCAATAAAAGGAGAAGACAGAGATGATTAAATCCCCATGCTTGAGAGAAAGGGAACATTGGAAAGAGGAAACTGCAAAAAGATTTCTTCACAAATCCAGAGAACTATGAATACATTAAAGATATCCAGAGATGAATACCCTGGCCCTCAGAAGGGACAAGGGATCAGATCAGCTTCCATATCCCTGTGACAAAGTATATGTACCTGTCCCTGAGGGAATCAGGAAGAGAGATTAAGCCCCTTTACTGGGCAGAAAGGAGGTTACCTGAGCTCCCAGAATTGGAATTAATTCAGCTGCTTAGAGGAGGAACTGACAGCTGTGTCTGAGTGAGGCAAAACCAGTAAGCCAGAAGCAGAGAACTCTGGGGGGAGAAGGAGTCCTAGGAAGGAAGACTAGCAGATTTGTAGTTTCCCCCACACCCTAAGCCAGTCTGGGGAAGAGTAGTAACTGGGAAATAAATCGCGTGCCCTGAACTGAGGTCTATGCCACTGACAGAGACTGCAATCCCAGTGAGACTGTTCCTGGTTTTGATTGTTTCTGGACATTTGGACGACACAAAAGGAAGTTGCCTTGCATTATTTTTGTGTAATTTGGGCTCCCCAGCACTATCATCCCAAGGCTGAGACCAGAATATTTTTCTCCCTTTTTGGGGAAAGGCTTGGAGTGGCAGTTGCTCCCATTAAAATCTCCCTCTTCGCCGCCCCTCCTTCCCCTGCTATCTGAATAATCACACAAGTAAAAGAGGAGGTTTTTTTTGCTAAAAATCAGATAGAATTGGAGGAAAGCCATGACGGATAACTTCTGAGTACCATGCAGCACTGAATGGCAGCTGGACAGGAGGTGTGTGCTCCCTTTCATATGCATTCCCATAAACTGCCCCTGCACAGTATTATTAGCAGGGCTCTCTCCTCTTGGCTCACCCTATTAGTGGGTATTAGAACTCTGCACACAAGTGCTAAAATTCTACTGAATCATTGTAGCAGGTAAACTCATTGACTCTGCCTAGGTTATTAATGTGAACAGTAGATTGAAATAGTTCTTTAGAGAAAGGGAACTAGAAAGCAGATGGTCCTGGATGGAAACCCTAAGGACCGTGTAGCTCAGCAATGAAGTTTAGGCTGAGGCTTGTCATAGATTTGAGTTAGGTGACAAAGCCCAGACCCAGGTTGGGAGCAGAATCTGGAAATTGTCTTACGAACAGCCATACTGGGTCAGACCAATGGCCTATCTAGCCCAGTATCTGGTCTTCTGACAGTAGCCAATGCCAGGTGCTTCAGAAGGAATGAAGAAGAAGAGGGTAATTATCACAGGATCCATCCCGTCATCCAGTCCTAGCATCTGGCAGTCAGAGGCTTAGGGACACCCAGAGCATGGAGCTGCATCACTGACCATCTTGACTAGTAGCCATTGGTGAACTTATCCTCCATGCCAGGGGCAGTGTGCTGCGTTAAGGATGGCGTATGATGCCTACTTATTGACAGATACATTCTATGCATGGTACCGCTATGGGAGCCTGTTTGTAAATTAGTTTATCTCACAACGGACAATTCATAATCCGTCCATCCTGTGATGTGACGTCCCTTTTCTAATACAGCGAATGTCTACGAAAACCATCACCTTGTTTTCTGGATCCGAGGTACCACTCCTTATCCTCTTCCTTCCTTCCCTGAGTGCAAAAAAGCCGCCCAAAACCAAAAAACCCCACTGACAAATGACCACATGTGCACCACACTGCAGCAGTGTGGGACAGGTCTGAATGTTAAGTGCTCTCTGTCTTCAGCTGCTTAAAAAAAAAAAAATCAGCACCTTTCTTCCACTCCATTCCCACCACACATAAATGAGAGGTGTCCTGTTGCTGCCTGACTCCCCACTACTTGTTCTCTGTGCCTGTGTGAATGCACAATTCACAGTCTGCAAAGCATGAATTTGGGAGGGGTGACAGCCAGAAGCAATTTGTTATGGAATCAGTTTTCAGTGCTGTTAGGGAGTGATGGCAATCTCTATAGAGAAAGCAGAAACTGGGTTTCCATCATTAGCTCAATTTTGGCATCCAGCCCAAGAATTCACAAAAAAGTCAAACTGGCCTCAAAATTAGGAGGTTTGATCAGCAATTGAGGTAGAAGTTTTCTACCAAGTTTGAAGCAAACTGGACAAGCGGCTCCTGAACTTTGGACCCAGTCATTGGGGCCGGAGAGAGTGAAATGACTCTGTAGACCAGTATTAGGGCACCCACCGGTAGGTGGGAGACACTGGGTCCAGGGCCCCTGCTCCAGTCACTTTAATTATTTGTTCACAGTGGAACAGCTTCCACAAGAGAGACTGAGAGAGCCCTACAGCAGAATATCCCATAGCCAAGTGGTTAGAGCACTTTCCTGAGGTAGGAGATTCCTGTTCAAATTTTCTCCCCCCCGGCCTGCCTGAGGAGGGAGAACTAAACCTAGGTCTCCCACATCCCCAGTGAGTGCTCTGATCACTGAGCTAAAAGTTGTAAGGTGGGCACCACCACCGCCTCCTCCCCTGGCCATTTTGTGTGGAGCAAGGCAGGAGCCTAATGCATTCCCTCAAGAAGCAGCTTAGGCGCCTAATCGAATTGACTCTAGGTGGCTGGTTCCTGTTTGTGGATCACTAAGCACATATAGGTGCCTCCCTGCTGCCTGGACTTAGGTGTCTCTGAGAAAGATGGAGCTTAGTACACACTCCTCTGGTCAGCATTTCCCTTTGGCTAGGTTAGGCGAGTCCACACCTAACTTGCTAGCTTTTGTGGATCGCATTCTTAGGCGTCTAGCTCTCTTCCTTCATTGTACAGGGAACCAAGGTGCCTAATTCAGGCTATGTGGATCACAGTGTTGTTCCTGTATTTTTTTCTAGGCGCCTAAAAGTTAGGTGCTGTGACACTCAGCATTACAACCCCTAAGTCTCTTAGTGGATCCCACCCTGAATCTCCTATGCTGTTTCCTTAGAGAAAATCTTCAAAGTTCAACCCAATCGTTAGGGTGATTTGCAAATGGAAGAAGAATCTCTCTCTCCAAAGGCTTGCAGGGTGGACAGATGAAACTTTTGAGACCTGTGGATGGGTGGGACAGGGAATGGATTAGGTTTGTGGTGAAGGAGGCCTAGCTACCAGGCCTTCCTGTGAGAAGGTTGTAGGGCATCTGGCAAGGGTTAAGGTTCTGTGTGCAGGATGGAGGAGAGTGGATTAAGAAGCCTGGCCAATACAGGGATTTTTGGGGGTCTGGAAATGGGTAGGAGAGGGATCGGAATGGATCAGGGTTGTAGAGGAGGGGGTCTAGATATCACTCAGGCCTTTTCAAGAAAGGGTTGTAGGAGCTAGAATTGGGTTCTAGGTTTGAAGGGGATAAATAGCATAAATCAGATTGCGCCAGAGTGCTATGGAGATCAGGAGACAAGGGAAAGCAGAGGAAACAAGAAAGAGGAAGAATGATGAAGAGACAGCAAAACAAAGGCAGAACTGTACAAAATGACTCCTAAGGTGCACTGCAGGAAGTGGCAAGAATGCTCCCTCGTTCACCTCCAAACCCAGTTCACACCTATCTGTGGTTCTTGTTTGAGAAATGTAACTTAAGTCTGTGGTTCTTTGGGAGGAGAGAAGAGGAGTGAGGGGGAAGAGACAAGAGACAGAGGGACCCTGAGAAGGAGTAAGCAGCCAAGGGGAAAGAGATAATGGGATATGGAGAGAGCATAAAGAGAATCTGAAATGGATAGTTCTGCGAACAGTGTTTACTTATGCAGTTTAATCAACTCTGTGAAGGGAACAATGGTTAAATTCTGGGCTAAAGATTCAAGGACTCTTGCACAAAGATATAACAAATAAGATTCTGCTATAGATCAGAGGATGTGGTAGTGGGGCAGCAGCTTTTTTTCCTCAGAAGACCAAAACTAGCTAACTGTTCACCCACCCCCTTTATTTTTTATTCATTTCTTTTTTTTTTTCTTTACCACTTTGAGATACCTATCCTGCTGCCATCCATGACCACCATGGAGAATCAACGCATTCTCTCTTCTAATAGAGAAGTTAAGCTGTTGTTTTTTTTCATTAGAAATGGTGTATGCATAGAACTTGATATTGTGACTATATAATGAAACTGATGATCAGGTTTGTTTCCATGATTCAGGGTAAGAATCATGACATTTTCTTTTTGCTATTGCACATGGACAACAGGACACAGACTCAGCCATCGCACATCAGCTAACAAGATGAAAGAGAGCAGATACATTATTATTAGAATCCCAGCTTTTTATTTCACTCGTTGCCTCACCTGTGCAGTCGACCATCAGGATCTCCATTTCCTCAGAGTGCTGGAGATCTGGGAGAAATGGCTCTTCCCCTCTTTCCAGCTGGGCTATCATCTCAGGCTTGGGAATTGGAAATCCTGGTCATTGGAAAAGATGTGTTAACAGCTGGCTAATGTTTGAGTGCTTGTCACAAAGAATGGTCATGATTTTTATAAGCCCACGTTGTTTTACTAGAAGCAAGGGTATAATCCAAATAAAGAGAACATTGTCATGAGTCCTGTTGGAAGAGTTAGTAACTGTTGGGAGATGTGTTGTAATCTCTGAAGGAGAATCAGGGATCTCTACACACAGGAAAATAAGACAACTGACACAGTGTAAAAATTAAATTACTTATCCATTTCTAAGCCTGCATAGAAACTCTGGTTTTGTGTTCAAGAATGAGCCCTAGGGCTCTTCCCACAGGAGTTTTCCCTCTTGCAAAGACAAAGCCAGTCTTAGTACGTAATACAATGGTGAGAGTATGAGGGTATAGGTACAAACTATTCTATCCCAATAGAAAGCTCTGGGAATTAGCTCCACTGCTGTATTTCAGAATCCTCCTTTGAAAGGGAATTGGTATGGCGAGGATGGTCTCTTCTTGCATTGGTTCTGGGCACCACAGGGACTGATCTTCTAATTCTAAGGAGGCAGGGAAGGACACTGAGCAGAAGCTGACCATAGACACTTCCGAGACTGCACAGCTTCTTATATGTACGAGAGTCGTACCCAGGGAGATCAGAGTCTCATAATTTTCCTGCATGACTTCCTTGTAGATTTCCCTCTGCTCTTCATCCAAGAGGCCCCACTCTGCCTCACAGAAATGCAAAGCCACCTCATCGAAGGTCATCAGCATCTGAAACAAGAATTCCTACTCAGTGCCTGTTGGCCTGCAACAATCCAACCATTCAGTCACAGGGCAAGGAGCAGAGGCAGAATAAAAAGTCCTTCCAACACTGTGGGTAGGATCCTCATACTGTGCCTGCACAAGACATCACTAGCATCATGTATCTGATGCAGGAGACAAGCAAGAAAATAAGTGGAAGAGGGACAGAATGAGGTTCTATTTTGTATGAACAATTTCCTCCCTTTCACCCTTAGAGTTATTAACCACTCCCTCTTCCCAACTGGGTTTTGGTTTCCAACAAACCTAAATTCTCAACATGAAGTTAGTGGAAACCATTGAATTTCACCTGGTCTTGTATCAAACCCTGTGACAAGTGTGAATGGTGAAATCATAAGTAGGCCCAAGAACCTTTGAAAGGTTCATGAGTCTGTCATAGAATTATTTAAAGCTGGAAGTGAAACAGATCTGTCATGTCTAGTCTATCCCTCTGCCAGAGCAAGATTGCTCCCTACAGAACAATAGTGCACCGTTCAGTGTAGTTATAAGTGTTCCAAGCGATGGTACCCCTACCATTTCCCTTGGGACATTATTCTACATCCTAGTAGGTATCTCAGAATGTCTTTTCTGATATTCATACTAAATTTCTCCCTTTTTTCATCTCATAACTCCTAGAAATACTCCCCTGTGCCTCCCTAAATAATTCCTCTGCCTCCTCCGTGTTTGTACCCTTCAAATACTTGTAAAAAATTGTCTCTCCTCCAAAGTGGCACTTTTTATCTTCCCTTGGTCAAGGCCCACCAGATCTGTGAACATTTTTGTTGCTTTCCTCTGAACTCTAATTCCTTGATACCTTTCTGGTAATCACGGACTGGATTCTGCTCTGTTGCACAAGCTGAGCCAATAAAGGTGGGCTTTAAAGCCCCCTGCCCCATGAGTATCCCTGGCATGGGAAACCCTCTGTGGAAACCTCGACAGCACCCCTCTGTGCAAGGGATGTTTTGGGGCAGGCTGTGTGAAGGCAGAAAAGGGAATGGTTGGAGTGCCCTAGTTATTCTGCATGCTGGAAGCCACCCGGGCAATTGCAGCCAGGTGACAAGTTAGGGAAGACCTCAGGGTGCTGAACTGGCCCCAGGTCAGGATGAGCGTGGCCTATGGGAACCAGAACTGACTGCAGTATTCCTGATGCACTTGCATCAGAGACAGAGGGATTATTGCCTTCTCAATCTGTGCCACTTTTGTGTGTGTGTGTGTGTGTCAAACATTTATCATTGCACTGGCCTATTCTGCTACCACATTATATTCCAAATTTATGTATTATTTGCTTCTCACTTTATGGCTCTTTAGGCCTTTCTGTTCTCCAGGTTTCTCCCTCCCATTGAATACTGCAGTTTTGGTTATTCTCCCCTCCCAAGAGCTATTTAACTTTTGTTTTCCCCCTTGAATACTTCTATTTTCTCTAGTATTTGCAACACACCTGCCCCAGAGTGCTCGGTGTGGGGAATCACCCAACCCATCCACAGGGGGATAGCAGTAGGAGTCTCATGGACAGAAGAAGAAAGATTGTTTCCAGCTCCTTCCTGGAGCTCACTCCCCTCCACCCCTATGAGGCAAGTGGCTGGAGAGGACTGAGAGTTTCTTGTCCCAAGATGAGTTTGGAACCTCCCCATCACACCTCTCCACAGGGAATGAAGGGGTGAGGATAGACTTCACTTTGGGTTTATTTTATGCTAATAACCCAGTCGCCAAGAAGAGGTGTGGTTATTGGACATATGCCTCTATGGATTATTCCTGGGAATCTGTGAAGGGGAAACTGAGGCAGGGTGCTGCAGAGCCATCGCTGCCCAGCAGAGGATGCTATAGAGGAGATGTACTCTTTGACATCAAGTTTCATGAACATGCTGTTTACTCCTTCAAGATCTTTAATCGAGATGATAGGTAAAACCAATTACCCATTCCCCACTAGACACCATTCCTCCCCTACAGGGCCTAGCCTGAGTTTCAAATTTGTAACAAAATCCAGAGTCAGGTGAGTCTTTTAAAACTAGAGCTGTATGAAATGTCCAGAATGACAGGAAAGAGGAACATTAAAAAATGAAAGTGACAGCAAAAGGAGGATGAGTGTTAGATCTTATAATCATAAGCACCAACAAGAAGGGAAAGGAATGATCTAATCTGGACCCAACGGTATGAATGAGTGTAAAATGATGAAAGGGATAAAAGGCAAATTTAGGCTGACTATCAGTAATTGTTTATTAGAAGGCAAATTAGCTTGCTAAAGGAAGTGGCAAAAGCCCCATCATTTGAAACAAGACAGGGCAAACCTCTAGAAAATACAGCCACATTTTTTTTTAAAGGTGCCAAAAATTAGAGTATTAAACCATATTTAGGCAACTAAGTGGCCTGATGTAAAATGCATCATGTAAAAGCTCACTATGTCACCCAGACCACAGGACAGATGTATACAGAATTACATGAGTTCATGCACAATCATCATTTTAAAACTGAACAGCTCAACAACATTTTGCTTGTATAAAGTACTTTAAAACTCAAGAATTTCAGGCAGTAAATTAAGCCTCAATTCCTCTGTGAGCTTGGCAAGTATCCTCTCCAATGCACAGGGAGATTAAGTGACTTGCCCAATATCACAGAATCTGTGGTAGAGCTGGGAATAGAATCCAGATGCCCTTTCTTCCAGTCCCAGGTATTAACCACAAGACAACATTACTCTTCTACCTTTTGTTCTTTATGTGTAGGCCTATCAGACTGTGTAGGCCTTTTGCTCACCATATTTCCCCCCCTCTGTGATCTTCATCTTCTCCTGATCAAGCTGACAATTCTCTTCCTGTTCCTCTGCTTCCATCTCCTCCTCTTCTTGCTCCTGAGGAAGCAAGTCAGGAAAAACGACAGATTTAGAAGGGAACAGAAATGTGGATGAAACACAGTTTGAACTATTCCTACTTCAATTACTCAGCCGAAGGAATTAGACACAATTTTGCCCCAGCTGACACTTTTCATACATAATACAACATCTCAGAGGCTGTTAAAATGGCCATTCCCCATTTCAGAGCACTTCTGTGAAAAGACTGAGGGAAGCTGTGGGAATCAGACCTGTTAGATTGCAGCATTTCCTATGTATACTGTCTGCACAGACAGAGCCCGGAGGGAGGAACATCAGTTTTGGGAGGAAAGGAGTACTTGTGGCACCTTAGAGACTAACCAATTTATTTGAGCATGAGCTTTCGTGAGCCACAGCTCACTTCATCAGATGTTTACCGTGGAAACTGCAGCAGACTTTATATACACACAGAAATCATGAAACAATACCTCCTCCCACCCCACTGTCCTGCTGGTAATAGCTTATCTAAAGTGATCAACAGGTGGGCCATTTTAGAGAAACACCAGGGAGGGAACATGAGCCAGGAGGCAGGCTATGCAGAGAAGCTGATTTGGAGCTACTGAGCCTCACACTGAGGTAAAGTGCAGAGATTAAGTCATCTATGGAGTGCTCAGCTGCAATGCAGCACAAGGTGCTTGAAGGACGAAAGCACTGCTGCTTCCAACAAAATAAGCACACAGGAACTGCTGAAGAGAACAGGGGAAAGAGACAAAGACCTGCAATTCCCCCTAGTTTAAAATATTCCAGGTGTATTCATTTTAGCAGCAGAAACAGGCTAATGAACTGCAAACACATACTCAGCAAGAGAAGAACCAGGTAAAAGTAAAAGGGTAGGTCATCTTGTCTGTTTCTCATTCCATCTTCCCCGCCCACCCAGCCCAATCCCAGTCTGCTTTCATAAATCACCTAAAAAAACTACAGTTATCTTACCCATGATGCTGAGTAAGTTTTGAAAGCATGGTGAAGAGAGCTGCTTCCCCTACCCAAATCATGAGTTGGAGAGAGTCCTAAGCTGTTGCTGAGACTCAGGCTCCCCTGTTCTTCTTGTAAGCAAGGAACACTCAATCAGAAAAACCGAGCCACCCAAGGGGAGGGGGACAAGAAAAATCCCCAAATGATTGAGGTTTCCTTTTCACCTTTAGAATGCTCTGAGAAAGCCAAAATCTGATTATCCCAGAGCTATAGCCATAGGAGGCACATATTGTAGGTGGGGGAAGGCTATGCCTCCCCAAACAACCCCGCGTGGCCATGCCCACACTCCACCCCGAGGCCCCCTCCTGCTTACCACTTCCCTCTTGGCCCCAGCCCAGGCAGGCTGCTCCTCTTTCGGGAAGTGTGTGGGGGCTGGGGCAGCCGGCCTGTGTCCAGGACTTGGGGTGGCTGAGGTTGTCCAGCACTGGGGTGCCCCCGGGCACTGGGGCTGTGCCACCCAGGGCTCCAGGGCTGAGGGTGCTGGGGCCATGGCACCTGGTGCTCCAGGACTGGAGGCGCTGAGGTTTCCTGCCCTGTGCTTGGTGGGGCTGGGGGCACTGGGGCTCAGGCCCCGGCTGCCAGCGCTCTTGGGCTGGGGGAAGTGGGCTGGTGGCCTTTGGCAGGAGCCTCTGGGCTTTGGCAGGAGAAGGGGGGCGGGGGCTTGGGCAGAAGGGGAGGGCCAGGCTGTGTGCTAGCCTCCCTGAGCCTGTGGTTCACCCATCGCTAAGGCTATGATTTACTCAGGGTATTTTTAGTAAAAGTCATGGACTGGTCACAGGCAATAAACAAAAAGTCACAGCCTCTGACGTGTCTATGACTTTTACTAAAAATACCCCTAACTAAATCTTAGGTGCTGCGGGGGGTGTGCTTCCGCGGACTCTACTGCTGTGGGGAGGACGCTCTGGGGGACGCTGCTGCTCCTTTGGGGGGATGCTCTGGGGCCCCGCTGCTGCTGGGGTGTGGCCCAGGGCCCCCCCTGCTGCTGCTGTTCCGGGTGGAGGGCAGCACCCCAGAGCCCTGCCGCCAGCACAGCGGCCGGGGGAGCAGCGTCCTGGGGCTCCATTGGTGCTGCTGGGGGGAAAGGGGGCAGCCTGGGGCACCACTGCTGCTCTGGGGCAGCGTCTGAGACCAGCTGC